GTGATAAACAGAAGAAGCTAGTCATTGTAGGGAAAAAAGATTGCTTAACAGCAGAAGCACACCAGAAATGGCTACTAAAACAATCAAGTATATATTTTTAAGTTTATTTATTTTGAGAGAGAGTGAGCAGGGGAGGGGCAGAGAGAGGAAGACAGAATCCCAAGCAGGGTCCACACTGCCAGTGCAGAGCCCTGCACCAGGCTCAAACCCACGAACCATGAGATCATGACCTAAGCTGAAATCAAGAGTCAGACACTCAACCGACTGAGCCACTCGAATGTCCCTAAAACAATAAAGTATCCTAACACCTTCAGAGACTGCTCAGCAGCCCTGGTCCTAAACAGAGGCTATTCTGGGGCTTAAAGAAACTTAGGGTTTGTTCCTTGGTCACTCAGATGAGTGAGTACATATTGATGGCACTTCCTGAGTTCATTCTATAGCAAATATACATCAAAATGTGCCCCCGACATCAGGGTAAGAGCATTTGACGGCAAAATGTGCCCCCAACGAATCACCCTGATGATTTTAAAGAGGAACACAAATTCAGTTTCAGTCCTTAATTTTTTTTTTCTGTGATTCATAGTCTTGGTGTCAGTACAAGAAGATACTGAATCTAGGGGCACCTGGGTGGCTCAGACGGTTAGGCGTCCGACTTCAGCTCAGGTCGTGATCTCATGGTTCATGAGTTCGAGACCCGTGTTGGGCTCTGTGCTGACAGCTCGGAGCCTGGAGCCTGCTTCGGAATCTTGTGACTCCCCCTCTCTCTGTCCCCTCCCCAGCTCATGCTCTGTCTCTGTTTCTCAAAAAATAAATAAATGTTAAAGAAAAAAAAAAGATACTGAATCGATTGCTCCCTTGTCTAGGGACAACCAGAGAAGACTATCTTCAGACACGGCCAAGCGCTTACAGATCTCTGACCCCCTCCTCAATGCTCAGAAGGGCAATGTCCATCAACGAATGCTCAGGACACTCTGTCTTCTGCTTGGACTGTGCCCTGGGGTCTCTAAAGACCACTTAAAACAGCATTGAGGGCAGCTGTGCTAAAGGACTGGCCGTCAAGCCAGGTCTCGATTGCATTTTCTCAAAATGTCTCCCTATTTCCTCCTACAAGCCTTCAGCTTCTACAGTTCAGTGACAGCGTATTTAATAAGAACCATGATGCCACAGGTCACTCACTGGCACGTTGTTGGGCTTGTCACATAGCCTGCTTTCTGTTGCAGCACGAAATCAGAGCCATGCCCATGGGTTACCTTAGCTAAGGCAGTGCTGGGGATCCAGAACCATCTACCTTAGAAGACAGAACGAGGGTGACCCAGCATCCTGGTCTGCTCAGGACTTGAGGGGCTTCCTGGAATGTAGGGCTTTCAGTGCTAAAATGGAGAAACTTCCCGGCAAGCCAAAACAAGTGGTTCACCTGATGGGGCTGTAAACATCTTTGCCTCTTTGGAAGCACAACCTTCGGTTACTAGATATTCCAACTAGATCTAGAAGGGATAGCATAGCCTATTAAAACTTCTGGGGACTTCAGCAATCAGCTACCCTCTCATTTTTGCAGAGATACTCAGACCCAGAGTGGTGTAGACATTTTCCCAAGGTCACACAGCTTGCTAGTGGCATGTCAGGAACCAGACTCTAGGTTGCCACACTCCCGATTTAGGATTCTGTCCACTGCATGCCATCGTTTGCTTTCCCAGTCTCTTTTTATCGCCCCTTTAAAGTGCAAAATGCGTGAATCAGTCTCAGCAGCAGGAGCATTGGGCTTCACGTACCCACACTCCAGGTTTTGCAACCGACATCTCTTCAAGGACGAGGTGGTGCTGGACGTGGGCTCGGGCACAGGGACAAGTGGCTGGCATCTGACGGTCTCATCTTCCCGCACTGAGCCACACTGTACGTGACGACCACCGAAGATCGACAGTACAAAGACTACAAGACCCACCGGTGGAAGAACATATACGGCTTTCACATGCTCGCATCAAAGACACGGCCATCAAGGAGCCCCTGGTGGAGGTGGTCATCCACACCGTCAAAGTGGCAGACTTGACCTTCACCCCTCCCTTCTGCCTGCAAGTGAAGCGGAATGACCACGTGCACACCCTGGTGGCCTACTTCCATACTGGCTCCCTCTCTGCCACAAGACAATGGGCTTCTTCACCAGCCCTGAGTCCCAGTACCTGCTGAAGGGGCACCTGCCTCCTCCCACCTGGGCCAAACCGGCCCTGCACGAGCCCAGGGGCTGCGGTGTTCTTGGGCACTGTTGGGGCTCTCCCTTCTCCTCCTTCCCCCACTCAGAAGGGGGTCTTAGGGCCTGGGTTGGGGATGGCATTTACACCAATAAATCCTTAGCTGGGGGGAAAAAGTGTAGACGGCCCTTATGGTTTTGTTGTTGTTGTTGTTGTCGTTGTTGTTGTTGTTTTTGCTGGGGGGAGGGGAGGGGAGAATCTTAAGCAGGCCCCACGCTCAGCACAGAGCCAGACCCAGGGCTCAATCTTGTGACTCTGGGATCACGACCTGAGCTGAAATCAAGAGTCAGACCCCAACCGACTGAGCCACCCAGGGGCCCCGTGCCCTTACTGCTTGTATCGGGCACCACTTTTGGTTGTCGTTATGCTGAGGAGGTGAATCGAATCAGGTTGTTGTGAATGGCCTCGACTGATCCCTGTCTCCGTTATTGTATGGCATTCTTCCCCATCACCTCTACAGCCATTGGAAGTACTTTCAACATGCAACCATTTGTTACCACCAAATGCTACCATTGACAGAGACAGACACATGCCAGGACACTGTGCCTTGGGTGAGGGGATCATGCTTATGACCAGATCACAGGCACGTGGCTTCACAGCTAGAAAATGCGTGACAATCTCGCTTCTTCCCATCTACTTATATTCTTTCAAAGGGAACATGCAAGATGCCTGCTCTAAAAGTTGAAATTAATGTACAAAACAATCAGTTCTTTTTAATTTTTTTTAATGTTTATTTATTTTTGAGAGAGAGACAGAGCATGAGTGGGGGAGGAGCAGAGAGAGAGAGGGAGACACAGAATCCGAAGCAGGCTCCACGCTCCGAGCTGTCAGCACAGAGCCCGACGCGGGGCTCGAACTCATGAGCCGTGAGATCATGACCTGAGCCGAAGTCAGACACTTAAGTGACTGAGCCACCCAGGCGCCCCCAAAACAATCAGTTCTAAGCATGTCAGAGGCCTCATTTAATCCTCATCCCATACCTACGAGAGGCACTATTGTCCCGTTTCGTGTCTGTGGAAACTGAGGCACAAGGGAGGTGAAGCAACCCTCCCAAAGAGCTTTTGTTGTTTTAACTCTACTAAGTGGTGAAGTCTGTTTCTGAGCATCACACGCTTTCAGGGGAGAAAACACAGCTCAGAGACTGCGGTACAGCCAACCAATTTACAATGCATCTCTGGGAAGCAAGGGCAAGGAGAAGGTGGAGGGATGTATTCCCAAGATACAGGGAAATAAATCATAAGGTGAAGATCTGTAGTGAAAAGGAGGGTTCTATTGACTTCTCTGTGCAATATACGTGACGGATATGGGGATACATTTCAGCCCTCAGCTTCCCATCTTCGTTGGCCATCTTCATTCCCCAACATATGGTGTACCAAATGCCCGACGCTGTCCTGCTTCAGCCCCTGCTGAAATACAGCCATCTGGTTCTGGAAAATTCCACCATGAATTATCATCTATCATGGCAGTCCGTTCACAAAGCCCTTTCTGGTCTCCCTAGTCTGATTCGATCTTCCGAACCCCTGAAGTATTTCCTCTTTCCCTTTGACACTTAGCCTCTCCTCCCTGTAGCCCAGCTGGTGGATTTTGAAGGTCTGCCACACGAACTGAAGAGGTGTGGCGGCATTATTAGGTGTAATTGTAAAGTTGAAGAGTTTTTGGAGTGTCCACCTCTCCTTCGTGTTCTTCCTCCTTTCCAGTATATTCCACCGTGTTGTGCCTTAAACTATGATTTTCTCCTGCAGACTTGGTTTTAGCGCTTCATATTTTATCGAGACTTTGAAGACAAAATGTCACCACTCTCGGCATTATCCACACTTCGAGGCTCAGCTTTAGCCAGAGAACATAATTATACATTTGCTTTGCCCCATGCAAGTAACTTAAAGCATCACTGAGTAGCTAGTTGCTTTATGGGAGCAGGAAACTCTTTTTGGTGCTACTCAAACCACAGCCCATGAAAAACCTCTGTGGGGCCTACATGTAAGATTGGTCTGCTCCAATCTATGGACACTGAACATGACCACTTTAACGTGTAAGCACACTGTGCAATCTCCAATTTTACAGGCAACATCTAGGATTATCAACTTGGATGCCTTACGTGGCACAGCTGTTAAACTTTGGGACAAGGAGACCGCTGGTCAGCTCTGAAAGAAATACCTTCAACAGGGAGACAAGCTGAACTCCACCGAACTTCTGGCTTTACTGTAATTTTAGACGCCAGGCTACCATTGTGAAGTAGCAAACACGTTGAGGTACCCCCATCAAAACACATCCCTCCTTCGAAACACAATACAAACGATGGCAGAAAGTAGTAGCATGATTTTATTGATGTGGTTTAGTACAGTGTTGGGACAATCTTAAAACCCTATATTCTAAAAAAAATACAAGAACTGCAAATTATATTTTCTTGAATCTAGCTGACATCTAACAGAGGCAAGTTCTAATACGAGCATCTGTAAGCTGATTAATATAATTTAAGTTGGAAGATGAGCAGCTTTGGTATTTCTGTATTTCTCGGACTCCCCTTTTGGCTGGATATATGGGAGTCCAGCCCCGTTCAGCAGAGTTGGACAGAACCAATCTACTGGGCTCATTCATTCATCACTTCAATTCATCCATCACTTCAATTCATCATCACTTCAATTCATCCATCACTTCAATTCATCATCACTTCAATTCATCATCACTTTAATTCATCATCACTTCGATGTTTCCAGGCAAGCAGCAGGGGATACCCAAGTTCTGGGATCGGGCCACTCCTGAGGTCACCTTCTTCATCCTTCTTGAAGTGAAACCATCAAACGGTTAAGGACTACATTGCCACTGTGTGTGGCCAAGTCTAGTCTAATCAGCTAATGTACCAGAAGTACTTGAAAACAAAAAGTGAGGCTAAATGAGAGAAACAATCAGTTAATGATAATGACCATGCAGATTTTTTTTATGTGAAGATTTTAAAACCAGCTCTAGATCTTAGAGTCCATCTTAAGATGAAATGATTACCTTTAAATCAACTTTCTGCAGTCACGTCAACACGTCTACACTAGTATCCCAAGGCCGTCTACCCACGCGCACTCGTGGCTACATTTTCAGTTGCCTGTGCGTAGAAATTCCCAGAAAGAGACAGCACTCATTTATTGAAACTAAAAATCACATACATCGAAATAGGCTCTTTCCAGATCTCCAGTCAACTCTTCCTAGAGATAGAGCCAGTCCGTATCGTAGGGCTGATGCTAACAGGCTGTAATACCACTGTTTTCTCAGAAGCCATTTTAAGGTACAGCACAATGCAATGACCGAAATGATCCTTTTAAATCTCGACCTCTGCTGCAGTGAAGTCTGAAAGCTTAAAGACTGTGGTTCAAGTCTCTTAATGACTTAAAGATTGGATTTTCTCACCTGCAGAATTTAGAGCAGAGGGTCTCCTCTCTTTGAGTTTTGAGATTGAGCAGAGGGAGAGACTGTTACTATAACCAGGGCTTTGTCTCTGAGGCAGATTCTCCTCTTTCGGGGCTGAAAAATTCAGGTGGTTGTGCACCAAGGTGCATCTAACAAAAGTCACAACATCCTCCGCGAGGCATCTGCCACCGTGTTGACATGATCTTAATAGAGCAATTAATGCTTACTTATTTGTGCTTTTTGTCGTCAGCCTTACCCACATTTTTCATTTAACAGTTTTAGTTAAAATAATCAGTTGACTAGGAGACTTGCTACTTTTGAGGCAAAGGCATATGAAATTCAAATGAAGGATGGAATGTTCAACTACTCATTTGGTGGCTGTCACAAAAATTCACCTTTTTATTATGTTAAAAACAAAATAACAATCAGACTAGTGCGTTTGAGGGGGCTTAGGGGAGGCTGTGCTTTGGTGGAACCCCACAACATGAAATTCTCGCAAAAAAGGCAACGTGAAAGCTAGAGCTAAAAACAGGCCGTAAAATAAGACGGCGGGACACGAGCCGCTCAAAGAGCTGTCCCCCTGGGATGGCCAGAGCACAGCGTGAGGGCCACCAGTCAGCCCACAGGGTCTATCTCGACACTTTCTCAATCAGATCTGTTGCCAAACACAAATTTTGCAATTTCAGAACGTGACACTGCAGGTAAGTGATAGTTACACCATGTTTTTCAGAAGTGGCAATAACAAAAAAGACACCAAACTACATTGCCTCTGATACGGCTAACGTTTATCAGAAGGTAAACGTGTCCGTGGCCATCTTAAGCCACATAAAATTTGGTCAAATTAAGCACAATAACCACAATGGTTCATTTGACATCTGGTTACTTAAAAAAAAAAAAAATCAAAATTCAGGGTATTATAAATTTTCTAAGATTCACTCCAAAGTAAAAGGCTAATTCTGTATACAGGGTTTTACCCAAATGTCCATAGGCATTATCATTATTTACACAGAAGGCTTTAATCTGAAGTCACCTTTGGCAACCTCAAAATATATAAACTATGAACTTACACAGTGGAATTATATATATTTTGAGTTGTGGCCTCAAAATACTGAAAAAAACAAAACAAAAAACAAAGAAAAAGGTCACCTACTAGAACAAGTCGGGATGACAAAACATAGCTCATTAACGACAGTTCACTTAACAAGATGAATTAACCACCACCCTCACCCCAAACTGGAAATAAATGGTCTTGAGCTTGAGGAGGAGAAAAACCATGGCTCCTGCGGTATACAAAGATCGAATGCTTTTTGCATTATCCTATAATTGCTGAGTCCTAAAACTAAGAAGAGACAAATGCACACAAGCCAGCAGCCAGAACAGGCCTGCTCCGTACCCCACGTCCGGGATCTATAGCGGGACGTGGCTGAACAGGTAAGACACAGATTCACCGTTGTGTGTTCTTCGGATCGCCTCTGCCAAGATCATCGAGATATCAATAACCTAAACGCCAACAGAAAAGGGGAGAGGACAGTGGGACATCTCAGTCATATTTAATTAAAAACTTAAAAGCCAGAGAGCTGAGAAACGATTTCTCCAGGCCACCAAGACGTGCTACCGTCAGTCTTCTACACCCATTTCTTGTGAGAGACAGTTTGGGTCTATCTTCAACTTACAAACACATATGGGATCCCGGAAGCGAGATTTTCAGTACAGATACTCAGAGGCTTTTCAGAGTCGCTGTAAATCAGAGACATCCTTTTCTTGGGGTGTTGGTTGTTTTTAGATTCATTTTACTCAATCGTTACATGGATGGTTCTTTTGTCTCTTGGTTTCCAAAAACACAGTGACTGTGTCCCTTAACAGCACGGCTGGGATCACCTAACTCAGGGGTCAGCGATTGGTAAAGGGCCCAGTAGTAAGTATTTTCAGCTTTGCGGGCCACACTGAACTGTAGCGTGACGACAGCCACAGACCATCCACAGATGGATAAGTGTGAGTGTGTCCCAAAACGGGGACCCAAATCCTTTCAACTTCGCTCAGGGCAGTTGGTAGAACATGATTATCACCAATTCTCTAATGGCCTCCCAAGTCAGGAAGGACAGGAAGGAGGAAAGCTCTAAAGATCCTTAGCGCTGTGTGTTTTTCCCTCCATTTTTAAAAACTGTGGGGGCGCCTGGGTGGCTCCGTCGGTTAAGTGCCCAACTTCAGCTTGGGTCATGATCTCACGGTTCGTGGGTTCGAGCCCCGCCTCGGGCTCTGTGCTGACAGCTCGGAGCCTGGAGCCTGCTTCGGATTCTGTGTCTCCCTCTCTCTCTCTGCCCCTCCCCTGCTCACACTCTGTCTTTTTGTCTCTCAATAATAAATACACGTTAAAAAAAGTTGTGGTAAAATATATATAACCTAAAAATTGCCATTTTAACCACAGTGGCTTTAAGTGCATTCTCAATGTTGTGTAGCCATGGCTATTACCCATTTCCAAGCTGTTTTCATCGTCCCCAACAGAAACCGTCCCCAGTAAACACTATATCCCCAGCCCCCCCC